CTATCAGTGGTGACCTCTGTTCACTTTAACTCTTGCATTCCTCCTTGTGTCTCCAGCTACCATCATCTTCTATGCCAGCCTCCTTCTTGTATGTTGCCTGCTACATCACCCATGTTAACATGTGTCTATCCCCTAATCCATGAATAATAATCTCCCCCCATTCCTACCCTGGTAACCATAAATCTTTTATCAAGAAACATTTTCTTAACTTTTACAACAGTGGTCTTATACAATATTTGTCCTTTTGTGATTAACTCCTGGTTTGGTGTTATAGGATAAACACTGGACTATGAATCACACAATCAATGGTTCAAACCCACCAGCTGCTTCTCAGAAACCCTATACAGGGTCACTATGAGTTGGAATTGATTCCACAGCACCTAACAACAACATTCCACTCAGCATAATGTCCTCCAGGTTCATCCATGTTGTGAGGTGTTTTGCAGCTTCATTATGATCCTTCAATATTGCATAGTATTCCATGTGTATATGTACCAAAGTTTGTTTAACTATTCTTCTGTTAATGGTCATTTAGACTGTCTTCATCTTTTTGATGTGTCTCTTAAATACAGCATATTGAAGGATCCTGCTTTCTTATCCTTTCTTCTACTCTCTCTTGACTAGTGCATTTAATCCATTCATATTCAGGGTAATTATTGATAGGTATGAATTGATCGCTGTCATTTTGCTGTCTTTTTTTGTGGTGCTCCTGATTTCTATGTTCCATGTAATTTTCTAAATTCATTTTGTTTCTGAACTTTCTTTTCATTTTCATTTCCATTGTGTTAATGTTTACTAAATCATCCTAATTTTCCTCTTTTTTTATTTTGTGGTGAAGGTGTATTAATTTTCTTTGAGGTTAACCTGTAATTTGTTATTATTTTTCCCCATTTAAAACAGTCTGTTTTATCTTGAAATCTCCCTGACATCCTCACCGTTTGGAAGTTCTATATCTATACTAGTCCCACTTTTTGCTTTGTAGTTGACTTCATTATACATTGATTTCTCTGTTTCCCTATTTTCAGCCTTGTAGGGTTTTTTTTATTTTAAATACTTCCATATATAGATTACATTTTGGGTGATGTTGTCATGTGGTTATCTCATGTTGTCTGCTTTTGTTGGTTCTCAGTCTCCTGACACTTTAACATTTTTTATAATGTTTGTTGTTGAATGCTGTCGAGTTGGTTCCAATTCATAGGACCCTGTGTAGGGTTTCCCAGGAGCAGCTGGTGAATTTGAACCACCTTCCTTATAGTTCAAACCAACTTTGCAAGACAGTGCTTATCCTATAGCATCACACCTGGTCATTACAAATTCCTTTAATTTCTATATATCAGGAAATGTCCTAATTTTGCCATTGTATTTGAGGGACAGCTTTGCTCAGTGTGTGATTCTTGGTTGACAATTTTTTTCATTCAGTTTTATATATGTCATCCCATTGCCTTCTTGCCTGCATGATTTCTAGTAGTAAATCAGAGTTTAGTCTTATTCTTTCTCCTTTGCAGGTAACTTTTTTGTTTTTCCAGAGCTACTTTCAGGATTCTTGCCTTGTTTTGGTTTTGGAAAGTTTTATTATGATATATTGCAGTGAATTTCTTTTGTGATCTATCCTGTTTGGGGTCGGTTCAGCTTCTTGTTTGCTTATCTTATTGTCTTTCATGATGTTAGGGAAATTTTCTTCCAACAACCCTTCAACAATTTTCTCGGTTTTTTAAATTGTCTCTTCCTATTCTGGATTTCGATCACCCATAGTGCCCAACATAACTTTTATGCTTTTAATAGGCATTTTCATTCCTTTTTCTAATTGTTCTTCTAGCATAGTGAGAGATTTATCTTCAAGCTCAGTAACTTAGACTTCTTTTGCTTTGAATCATTTGTCCTTCCAATGTATTGCCCATTTCTGAAATCTTAGTAGTTGTATTGTTCCAGAATTTGCGTTTATTTTGCCGATTTGTTCTTATAGTGGTTTCCTGAATTCTTCTAAAGTGTTTTTCTCTGTTACCCTTGCTTTCCCCTTTCTGTCAATTCTTTGAAGATGCCTAAATACCATTCTTCTGAATTATATTCAAGTTATCTCTATTGCCTTTTATTCATCTTGGTCATACATTTGAGCCATTCTGTCTTCTTTGTGTGAGATAAAATTGTCTGTTTTCTCTGGGACATTGTGGTGGTCTTATATTTAACTGGTAACTGTATGTTGATGTATTCTTAGACTTTCACAAACTGTCTCTGTGGGTGTAGTTAGAGAATGGAATTGACATGTACCATTGTCCATTCACCATTTACACATCTTAGTTTAGGGTGGGTTTGGCTGGTGTTGGCAGCTGTCTTATCATTGATCAGGTGGTTTAGGAGCATGTTTTTTTAACAGTGGATGAAGCTGCAGAGGTTACAGTTGTGGTTGGGCTCTTTGGAAGTGTTGCTGTCTTCTGTTGGGTAGGAAAGAGAAGAAGCCTCACACATGCACGCACAAAAAAACAAAAGAGAGTGAGCAAGCAAGCAACCAACAGTGAAAAGAAAATAATAAAGCAGAGTGAGGGGCAGAAACCAGAAAAGAGGCAGAAACCAGAAAAAAAAAAAAAAAGAGTAAAATAACTAAAAAGAGAAAAGAGGGACAAAAAAATAGTTATAAGAGAGAAAATAAAATTTTTAAAAATCAGGAAAGATGAAAACAGAGTTGTAATGAAAGATCAAAAGAAATTTTAAAAAAGAGGGGAATGAAAAAATAGAAAAAAATAAGGAAAAACAAAAAGGAAGAAAGAAAAGATAAAGTTCACAGAAATATAAAGACAAGAAGGATAAGAAAGAATAAACAAACAAAAACAACAAAAGGAAAAACACCAAAAAGTGCAGCTATTGTACCTGAAGAATAGAAAACTCTGGAGGGGTCTCCTGGCAGCCAAGGAACATGAGGAGGGTTCGGAAGAAGTGTGACAGCGGAGTTCCAGGCCCTAGATGGAGTTCCTGTAGGCCTTGGTGTTACCTATGTTCAGGCCATTCAGTCCAGAAGTAGTTCATGGAGGCCCTTGTTGAAGCTGATGTCAGTGTCCGTTAGGACCACAGGACAGCTAGGGGCAGGGTAACTAACTGGTTATGATGGTTTCTGTTAGACTAATTCTGGTCTGGTGTCTCTGTGGGTTCTGTAGTTCTGGAACCAAGCCTGACTGAATCCAGTCACCAAAGCAGCACAACCAACCCCTGCCTCACACTGGCATGGCTCCCAACCAGGTGGCTTCACGCTATCGGAGAGCAGTGTCTACACTGTGGGTAGCCACACCTCTAGTCACTATGGATCATGGGAAAAAAGGAATCACACCTTTCAAATTGCCTGTGTGACTCTGCTCTGCCCACCTACCTTCTGCACTAAAAGCTGCTCACAAAAGTTCAAGATGGTCACACCACATTTGGCCAGCCATTCACCAGTCAGTGCCCCTCTCTGTCTGTCCCTGCTCAGCTTCTCCTCCCAACAAGCACTCAGTCCACTTCTCTAACCTTTTCTCTGAAGTTCAAGGTTCCAGGATTTTCATCTCTGTCTGTTTCATATAGTTTCTTTGTTGTAGGATTGAGCTGTTTGTAAAGGAATTGACTTCCCTTGTTATTGTTACCTTCAATGTTAGACCAGATGAACTTTAAGCTTCTTTACAGTACTGAGTTTCTGTAATTCATATTTTATGTATGCCTGTGTCCTGACGTTGTTATTGTTCAGTGCTTTCAAGGTGGTTCCTAGTCATAGCCACTTGTAGGGTTTGCAAGAGCAGCTGGTTAGTTTGAACCATTGACCATGTGGTTGGCAGTTCAGTGCTTATCCTACTATGCCACACCAGGCCATCAGCATACTGACATAGGTTACTTTAGACATAATAGCCTAGCATGTTAGCAGATAGTACTTTGCAGTAGCGGGTCAACAGTAGTTGTTTCAAATATATATGAGTTCCTGCAGTAAGTCAGGCCATGTGCTCGGTGATGGATTCTGAGGATAGAGCAGTCAGAGACAGCAGGATCCTTCATTACATAGAACTTTCTGTACTTCATGGAGCAAGCTGAAGTAGTTTGTAAACCAGGGGTTAGATCATTTATCTAAGGTAATTTTTTAAATTTTGTGGGCTTCTTTTTAAATGTTAGTTGTTATGGCCAGTAAATAAAATGGTATATTTATTTTTTAAATGAATTGTTGTTGCTGAGTGCCTTCGAGTCGGTTCCAACTCATAGTAACCCTATGTAATGTAGGGTTTCCGAGAAGCAGAGACCTTGTGTTCGCAGTCCAGCACTAATCCTATAACACCACACCAGGACTCCTGTCTCTATGGTAGTGATAGTGACTTTCCCAACCAAGTTTGACATCTTTACTATACATTATAGGAAAGGATTTCTATAAAATCTTTTGGTGACTTTCCCATGTTTGACATCTTTACTATACATTATAGGAAAGGATTTCTATAAAATCTTTTAGTGACTTTCCCATGTTTGACATCTTTACTATATATTATAGGAAAGGATTTCTGATAGCAAGGTTTTCTGACCATATGTTTAAAGTGATGTGAATTTTATTTATTTATTTATTTATTTTATCCTTCTAGTTGAATACAGTTGCCATTTTTTCTTTACTTTGTCAAATCAAATTCATTCTTTCTATACTTAGAACACCTAATCTAAGTATTAGTCTTACTTGAACAATTAAGTAGCCTTGATTTTTTTCAAGGATAGTGAGAAATGGCTGCACAAAACTTTCAGATGAACTTGTGTACTGTCACTTATATTAATTTGTGTATCATTTTCTAGGTTATTAATGATCCTATCCATGGCCACATTGAGCTCCACCCTCTCCTCATCCGAATCATCGACACACCGCAGTTTCAGCGACTCCGATATATCAAACAGTTGGGAGGCGGTTACTATGTTTTTCCAGGAGCTTCACACAACAGATTTGAGCATAGTCTGGGGTAAGAGGGTATTGGAGAGGCGTAGTAATAACAGTTCCTCCTCTGTCTCATGAAATAGTTGTCTCATTTTTGCATTTAGAGAACAAATAATTTCATAAAGTAATGTTAATGTCTTATTTTATTGATGAAAAAATTAAAGCCCTTTGCTAATAATAAAATGAAAAATATTTTATATATTACAATCCAGCTCAGATCCTGTCTGGAAATATATTGAAGTGCCTATTGACCAATCAATTGTATGAATTATTTAGGTACGAATTCGAATTTTAAAGCATTATTTAAAAATTGAAAGTGTTGGCTACTGACAAAACCAATCTCTAAAGCTCAAGAATGATATTGGAATTTTGAGTGTGTTCCTACCCAGTTCTAAAATGACTGTTCTGTGAAGTTGACCCAGAGATACATTAGAATGTTTGCAAAAACATCTGAAAGGTTTCAAAGACCACAGGTATCACTCATTTTTTTAAACAAAAGGTTGACGTTTTCTTGCCTTTTTTTTTTTGCTGTGCAGGGTGGGGTATCTAGCAGGATGCTTAGTTCGTGCGTTGCATGAAAAACAACCAGAGCTGCAGATAAGTGAGCGAGATATGCTCTGTGTGCAAATTGCTGGGCTTTGTCATGATCTCGGTAAGTTATACAAAGAGCCAAAGTTGTTATGTAAAACTCTAACATTAGTTGCCTCTCTGAAATAGAAGAATCAGGCTAGCCAAGAGAAATATAATGTGCCATTGTTTCTTTCTTCATAGCATGATTCATAAACTCAAAAACCAAACCCATTCCTGTCCAGTTGATTCTGACTCGTAATAACCCTATAGGACAGTGTAGGACTGTTACCTTTCTCATGTGTCATAAACCTAAAATAGTTCTTATGTTTTGGGTAATCTTTTAGTGACTTTCCCATGTTTGACATCTTTACTATACATTATAGGAAAGGATTTCTGATAGCAAGGTTTTCTGACCATATGTTTAAAGTGGTGTGAATTTGATTTTTTTTTTTTTTTCTATCCTTCTAGTTGAATACTGTTGCCATTTTTTCTTTACTTTGTCAAATCAAATTCATTCTTTTTATACTTAGAACACCTAATCTAATTTAGCAGATTAAGAGATGTAAAGAACTCCTTTTCTTCCTTAACCCGTTTGAGGTCTTGCTCCACTTGACTCCAAATAGAAGAATATCATTCCTCTCCTTTGACAAAGGGATTGGGAAAGGTTCTTGAGAACGAATCGGAGTTGTCCTGATCCGTGTAGTTCATTTCTCCCTAGTAGGAGAATCGGAGTTAGTGTTGGCAGGGCAGGGGGCCTTTCTCTGTTTCAATAACCAGGTACTTGCAGGGGGTAGGTAGAGTACTTTCTTCTGTAAATCACTCCATATCGCTCATTACCCCATTAGATCTGAGTAGGACTAATGCCACCCTCAGATAATAAATGTAACAGATTCTTGGCATTTTGAAAAGAATCATCTGGAAACCTCCACTAGTTCCCAAGAGTTTTTATGTGCAGTCTGAGACTGCAGAAAAGGCCCAGCACTGGTCCAGGTGGTCTGTCTCTGGCCAGTAACTCATTCTATGGAAATTCTGACAATTCCAAGTTGTCCCCCAACAAAGTCTCTAATTATTAGGTGTTGTGGAATGTTAAAATTACTTATGAATAAATAAGATAAATAAATATTCTCCAGGTACTTTCGAATGCCCACATCATCAATAAAAAAAAAAGTACTAAATATGTGTATATTTATTCCAAAGTATATTATGTTTATTATGCAGTTACATAAAGAGAGATATTGTCAAAGATGAGAGTAATAAAATGAAGTTCTTGTATTTCTCTCCATGCTACAGTGGTAGATTGTCATAAAACTTTTGCTATAAGGCATTCTGAAGATTCCAGAAGTTAACATGCCTTTGACATAAACTCCTTTTTGTTACACAAACTGTCTTTTCCTGAGGCCTTTCTTTGGAAGCTATATATTTTCTATATGAAAAGCCTTCCTGTTTTTTTGCTTTAGAAAATAGCGAGGAGATTATGTGTCCTGGTGTGGCTCTATAGGATAAGCAGTAGATTGCTAGCTGCAAGGTCAGCAGTTCAAACCCACCAACTTTTCCTCAGAAACTCAATATAGGGTCACTTTGAATGGGAACCGACTCAATGGCACTTAACAACATCAGTAATTTCAGTGTGGCACTTAACAACAACAGTAGTATCCAAGTTGAACTCAAAAGACAGAAAAATTAATCCCTTTTTTTTTTACCAGTTTGTGAATATTTTTCTTACTTCTAATGCTACATTTGTTTTTAAGGTCATGGACCATTTTCTCATATGTTTGATGGAAGATTTATTCCACTTGCTCGCCCAGAAGTAAAATGGACGGTATGTTTCATATTTTCAACATGCAATAAAAAGACTGTTGAATGAGTTATTTAATTTGGCTCCACTATGTTATAGTATGGAGTCCTGGTGTGGCGCTGTAGGTTAATGCGCCAGACTGCAAAGCCATTTGAACTGCAAGGTTGGTGGTTCAAGCCCACCAGCTGCTCCTTGGAAACCCTGTTACAGGATCACTAGGGGTCTGAACCGACTGGATGGCACTTCACAACAACAACGTTATAGTATATTTTCCTTTATAGTTTTTTGCATATATTTGTATTTGTATTTTTCTCTGTTTATATGAAGAGTCTTCAAAAATTCATGGAAAAAAGTCAGTATATTTTCATTTCATTTTCCCAAGAACTTTTTGAAGCCCTCTCAGGGGGTGTGTGTGTGTGTGTGTGTATGTGTGTGTGTGTGTGTAAGTAATTTTTGGTTGTTTCATTTGATCCTCTTAAGTAATCTGTAAGGAAGGAATCATTCTCTCTCTTCTACAAGTAAGGAAACTTGAAGCTCGTAGAAGTAATTATTGCACCCAAAATCAGAAATCTAGTGTGTTTCTTGTCTGCCAGTTTAACACTCTTTCTGTTCTATTGTACACCCGTAAAACTGTCAACTCCAGTTTTGACTCATTTGCTATGACCATGAAGTAGCTGATAACCAACCAGGTTTCATCATGCATATATATTAAATTATTTTTTTAATTTTACAATTAGACATTTGCACATGGCTGACCCATACTTTGGATTTTTAAAAAATGAATTTTGAAATGAAGTTAGGTTGGTTTCCCCCCAGTTTCTGCCATCTTATATTTCTAGAAACTGGAGTAGGAAAGAATATTCATACATATCAAACATTTATTTCACGTCAGCCACTGTTTTTTCTCTCTCTCTCTTTGTCTTGTAAGGCACAATTCATAAAAATAAAATGTATCTAAGTGTATACTTTAGTGAGTTTTGGCAAATGTATACATCTATATAACCACTCACCCTTCAGAAATAGACCTTTTTATCTCTGGAAAATTTCACTTATGCCCCTTTGCAGTTAATTTTGCTCTCCCCCTTACCATTACCTTCTGAGTTTTGTAAGCACTGGTTTGTTTTACTTGTTCTTAGACTTCATATAAATAGAATCATATAGCATGTTTTCAATCCATCATGATATTGCCATTTTTTGAAGATTTTAAACAAGTTATTTTGTAGAATGCCCCTCCATTTGACTGCACTGTTCAGTGTTTTCTCATAGAGTCAGGTGTGCATGTTTGGCAAAAAGGCCACAGAAGCCATATTGTGGCCTTCTTAATGTGACATTAGGAGGCACATAAAATCTCTCTGAATTACTATTACTGGTGATCTTTTGCTTACATAAAATTTATCCTCTATAAAATTACTATATCTCTCTTTGTCATCAATAAGTGTTTGATTTAATTCTTAAAAAACAGTTATAGAACCATTCAGGTTTTGATTTTCATGCCACATCAGTTTTTGGTTAACACATGGTACAGGATACATGTCTCCAGGGGTCATGTGATCTTTACAGCGATTGTGAATGAAGAAGAAGAGCAAAGTGAGCAAGCTAAGTCTGATTTGAGATTCCAGCCCAGATCTTCACATCAGAACCCTTGATGCACTTTTAAGTTTTTAACTGACAAGTTTTCAAATGCCCCCTTTTTACCACTGGTTCAAGTACAGGGTCAGCAAGAAAGAAAAAGACCCTGAACAAGATGGATTGATACAGTGGCTGCAGTAATGAGCTCCAACAGCAATAACTGGGAGGCTAATGCAGGACAGGGCAATATTTGGTTCTGCTGTGCATACAGTCGCTATGAGTCAGAGCCCAAGTATGACTGGTGATGTCCAACACCACCACTAGATGGAAGTGCTGGCAGTTTGTAACGCCACATGTAGAACCTCTACATTGGAATCAATTAGACAACAGGGGGTTTACTCCTATTTAGACAACAGAACTGAATTTTATAATGATGTTCATTAAAATAGAATTCTACCGTATGACAGAGGATATGATTCCAGGTATAGATACTTCATCAACTACATTAAATATATTTATGAAATAATATAGTTTGTTAAAGGATTTGTACACTAGTAAGTTACTGACAGAATTGCAAGGTTTTGACACACAACTGAAAAACTGTGGTTGGAAACTAGACCTTATTTTTTAAATTACCTGGACTTAAGTAATTTTAATAATTTGGAGTCCTAATAAGCCATCAGGGCAGGGATCTGGTGTGGTGCTGTGGTATAATCCAGCTGCTCCTCAGGAATCCTACACAGGGTCACTGTCAGTTAGAACCACCTGGAATGCACTTAAAAACAGTAACAGTGGGCCAGCAAGGAGCCCTGGAGACACAGTAGTTAAGTGCTGGTCTACTCATCCAAATGCTGCTGGTTTGAACCTACCATCTGCTCCAGGGAAAAAGATGTCATCATCTGATTCTATAAGATTGTAGCCTTGGAAAATCTGTGGGAAAGTTATCTTTCCTATTGGGTTGCTATAGGTTAGAATCAACTCTGCAGCAGTGGGTTTGGTTTAAGAATGGGCCAGAGTCTATTATCAACCATATTATGCTCATGTTTTCTAGCATGAACAGGGCTCAGTGAAGATGTTTGAGCACCTAGTTGATTCTAATGGACTCAGAGAAGTCATGCAACACTATGGACTCATCCCTGAAGAAGACATTTGTTTTATCAAAGAACAAATTATAGGACCTCTTGAATTTTCATTGCAAGAATCCTTGGTAAGTTAAATTGTATACAGCTTAATTTGAACTGACTAATGCTTTTCATCTTGTTTTCTTAACTCTTTCAAGGCTACACATTTGCCTGTTTCAGAGGAGCTAAAAGATACCATCTAAGTTATATTTTTATCGTTTAATACAAAAAGTAAAACACATACTTTTTTTGCTTCTTAACAGGTCATTAAAAAGTTACCAGCTCCCAAACTAAAAATATATATAAATCTTTTTTAAATGCGTATGTGTGCATTGTTTTGTATGAAAATAAAAAATAACTTTGCTTATAAATATAATGGTATATATCTTGTTTATCTACTAAAATTTACATTCAAAATACTTCAATAATATGAAGACAGAAAAAATTGAACTACGTCAGAAGAAAATCTGTTTTGTCTCCTTGGGGATCTTTTTTTCTTTTTTATTAATTAAAAAGAGTAGGAAAATAACTTTCCTTCCAAGATTCTTAGGGATTTTTTAATCAAATATATACCACTCTACTTTATGCAAATAATAGAGAGGGGATTTGCAGTAAAAAACCATGTTTCTAAAAACTGGATCTCCAAATATTCTTTTTGAACAACCCAAATCATTTAAACTAGGTGGATAGCTACTTAAAGATAGTACTGTTTTACACGTATGAATTCAAGGTACAGAACTTTCTTAACACTACATAGTTAAGATCTTTTATTTTTTGAGAAAACTTTTAAAACCAAGGCAACACAAAGCATATTGGTTGTGGAAAGTGTAATAAGAGTTAGGATCGTTTCAGTGGCACAAGAAGGTTTAGTATTAATAGAATATCATATGCCTTAGCATTTCTTTCTCCTGTCTGCTAATTTAGGAATCAAGTGGAGAAAGGAAAGAGAGTAGAACCTTCTAGCTCATCTCATGTTCCCAGTCAAGTATCTGTTTATACTTTTCACATAAATACAGTTGCTTTGCCTTGCTTATCCACAGTCAACTTGTTCCTACACTGAAACTTTCTGTGCATTTCCTTGTCTTCCAGTGGACCTATAAAGGGCGTCCTAAAGAGAAAAGCTTCCTCTATGAAATAGTGGCTAACAAGAGAAATGGCATTGATGTGGACAAGTGGGATTATTTTGCCAGGTATGCTCTGAACAAATCAGAAAAATTTGTTGGAATCCTTGTACAAATTTACTGTTGAAAATTTTTCTCTTGGTTCTTTTGGACAATTTTTAGGGACTGCCATCATCTCGGAATCCAAAACAATTTTGATTACAAGCGCTTTATTAAGTTTGCCCGTGTCTGTGAAGTGGATGAGAAGAAGCATATTTGTACTAGAGAAAAGGTAAGCTGTGTCAGTGGAAACAACAAGGAAGTTTCTAGTCTACAATCTAGAAATTTCCATTCAACAGTTTGCAAACATCAGTACCTGGTAAATGTTCAACCTCTTTACTTCATGCTTAGTTAGCATTTAGAAGTATCTTAAAGCTGTTTTCATTTCATTTGTATTATCAAATAACAAAAATAAAATTATGATCATTTATTTAGTGTTATGATAGGCACTGTTCTAATAGATTTACATGGATTAACTCAATTCTTCCAACCCTATAAGATTGTGGTTGTTGTTAAGTGCCGTTGAGTTAGTTCCCACCCACAGTGATCCTGTATAGGGTTTCCGAGGAGCGGCTGGTGAGCTTGAACCACTGACCTTTTGGTTCAATCTGACTTTGCAGTCCAGCACATTAACCTGCAGCACCACACCAGATATTTTTATTCCATTTAACAGACAAGCAAACTGAGGCACAAAGGTATACAATCAATAGGTGGCAGAGCTAAGATTTCAACTCTGATAGTTTGGCTCTAGGGCTTCATCCTTAATCCCTACATTAGTGCTTTAGAACAGTGAAAATCCTGAAATCTCCAAGTCTGTGCTAGATTACAGACAAGGAACTATAAAGCAATATAGTATTGTATTATAAAAAATCTGTTGAGAGTGAAGAATACAGGAATAGAAGTCATTGGGATGATTGTAGGCGAAATTAGATTTACGATGCCTAGAACAGAATATGTCACAGAGTTAAAGCATTCTGCAGATTTTACTTTACTATTGATCAGTAAGAATGAAAGTTGCAAACCAATGCAGAGCTGTACTTATCTGCTTGCCTTCCTGGTTTTCCTTGGGCTCAGGGATGTTAATGGAGGAGCCCCGCCCATAGCCTTCTTGTCTACCACCATCCCTTTTCCTTGTCTTATAGACTTGGCTTTCACAAGGCTAACACAGTCTGATACCACATTAATATTCATTACACATTTCCTGCAGGAAGTTGGGAATCTGTACGACATGTTCCACACACGCAACTGCTTGCACCGTAGAGCTTACCAACACAAAGTTGGCAACATCATCGACACAATGTAAGAAATTTCCTTATAAAATTTCATATGATGCTTTGCTAGAGTATCGCAGTTGGGTGGGGTTGAGAGGTCTGGGTAAATCCAAGTGAATAAATCTAAAGTGGTTTCCTTAAAGGAACACTACCACACAGTGAACTAAATTTAGTTGTAAGAGGAGGGGGACAATGGACATAAGAGGTGGGTGAGGGGGAGAAGAGCTGACTTGGGCTAGATATGAAGAGACCGTGCCGGAAAGACTCAAGACTTCCATATAATAGTCAAGGTAATGGGGCATGAATAACTGACATTTTGAGATTATGAAATTAATTTTAAGGATAAAGATTAGTATCTGTCTGCTCTTGTCATATCAAGTATGTATCAAAATTTGTTACGTGCCTTTGAGTCAGTTCCAACTCATAGCAGATCCTGTATAGGGTTTCTAAGGAGCAGCTGGTGAATTTGAACCGCCAACCTTGCAGTTCAAACTGACCTTGCAGTCTAGCGCATTAACCCACGATGCCACATCAGGACTTCTAAACTGGTAGAAATTTCACTTCTCTCTCAGAACCATAGCAGAAATGTACAACCAAGTCTCCAGGGGACTCATACACCCATGTGAACTTATCAAAAGTTAGGGATACTGATTCCATGTCTCTAAAATAGCTTTAAATTAATTTATTATAATTCTTGGACAAATACTCTAATATACATATATGTAGCAATATATTGCAGTATATATATAGGAATAAACAGATTAGCAGGTAGAGTACATTAACCTATACTTTGGTAAGGTTTTCTTTTAATTTGGAGAAATCTAGGTTCGAAGATTGGCACTACTGCTTCCTAATGGGTAAATGAAAATGATTTAATTTCCCTATCTGTAAAAGTAGGACTGTTTATAACTTACCTTTTTGTTGGAAAGATTTAAAACCCTCCCATAGTGCCTGGGTCATAATAAGCGTGGTAGCTCAAAGCAGTGTGCACTCATTAGTCTTGTGGAGAAGCAGTTGTCATTAGAATATAGCACCTCAAGATTTTACTTCCCTAATGTAGAAAGATTCCCTAACTTTAAGCAATGCTTAATGCAAATGTTTAACATTTCTCACAAGCATAATTTTTTATAAAATGATCCTCTTTAGGATTACAGATGCTTTCCTCAAAGCAGACGCCTACATAGAAATTACAGGTGCCGAAGGGAAAAAGTACCACATTTCTACAGCAATTGATGACATGGAAGCTTTCACTAAACTGACAGGTAAGAGCTAGAGGGTGACTAGAAACTGTCCCCAACTTGCTGGTGATGGTGGTGTGCCTTGGAGTCAGTTCCGACTAATAGCGACCCTGCATAAGGTTTCCGAGGCTGTAAACCTGTACGGGAGCAGAAAACCACATCTTTCTCTCCCAGAACTGCTGGTAGCTTCGAACTGCTGACCTTGAGGTTAGCGGCCCAACTCATAACCACTATGCTAACTTACAGATACGTTATTTTCCAAATGTTCAAATTAATTTCATGTTCCCAACTGATTATATATTTATTGGTTATTTTGAACTTTTTATTATGCTTTAGGTGAAAATTTACACAGAAAATTAGTTTTCTATTCAACAAATCACACACAACTTGTTCTGGGACATTGGTTGCAGTCCTTGCAATGTAACATCACTTACTCCACTTCCTCCCTCCTTTTTCCCTACCTCCTCCTCTCCTCTGAACTTTGCCCTGGGCAACTGTTGCCCTTTTGATGTCAAATGATAGATTCAAATGATAGATAGATGTCAAATGATAGATAGAAAATATTCTAAGGAGTATTTTCATCCAGTTTTGAATATTTACTGTTGAAATTGAGTTTTAGGTCTCAGTAATTTAATTTTTCTGAACCTTAGATTTTTTCTATCTCATAAAATGAGGAAAATGATCGCTACCATGTCTTTAATTGTAATACTTAAATGAGGCATTGTTGTTGTTAAGTGCCGTCAAGTCGGTTCCGACCCATAGCAACCCCATACAGGGTTTCCGAGGCTGTAAATCTTTACGGGAGTAGAATGCCTCATCTTTCTCCTGCAGAGTGGCTGGTAGTTTCCAACTGCTGACCTTGAGGTTCACAGCCTGATTCCTAACCACTACACTACCAGAGCTCCTTAAATGAGGCATAGTCTTGTGCTAAATCAATTCCAACTCATAGTGACCCATTGTGACAGATAAGAAGTAACCATACCTACACCTATGGAAGCAGTAGCTCAAAAGAGGGAACAAGTCCTTACAGCAAGAATCATTCCCACCCCCTCCACACACACAGTAGACAGGGACGGGCAACTTGGACATTGGCTACC